TCTATCTATCTATCTATCTATCTATCTATCATCTATCTACCTACCTACCTATCTATTATCTATCTATCTATCTATCATCTATCTATCATCTATCTACCTACCTATCTATCTATTATTTATCTATTATCTATCTATCTACCTACCTACCTATCTATTATCTATCTATCTATCTATCTATCTATCTATCTATCTATCTATCTATCATCTATCATCTATCTACCTACCTATCTATTATTTATCTATTATCTATCCATCTATCTACCTACCTACCTATCTATTATCTATCTATCTATCTATCTATCTATCTATCATCTATCTATCTACCTACCTACCTATTATTTATCTATTATCTATCTATCTATCTATCTACCTATCTATCTATCATCATCTATCTCTTTATCTTCTTAGTGCTCTCCTGTACATGAACAGCGACTTTGAAGGTGGGGAGTTTATTTTCACGGAAATGGATGCCAAGACGGTCACGGTGAGTAGATACCTGGACAGGTAGACTTCAATTTACAATTATTCGTTTAGTGACCATTCGAAGTTACTGATAAAAAAATGACTCGTGGTCGTTTTTCACACTTACGACCGTTGCAGCATCCCCACAAAGTCACGTAATCAAAATCCAGAGGCTTGGCCACTGACTCGTACTTATGACGGTGGCAGTGTCTCGGGGTCACGTGATTTCCCCCTTTGTGACCTTCCGACAAGCAAAATCCATGGGGGAGCCAGATTCACTTAACGACTGCAGTGATTCGCTTAGCAATGGTGGGAAGGAAGGTCATAAAACGGGGCCAAACTCACTCAACCGCTGTCAAAAGTTGGGGCTCCATTAGTGGTCATAAGTGGAGAACTGCCTGTATCTGACAGGCAAGAAGCTCCGATCCAACCCGAGCACCTCCCCCCGCTTCTTCCAGGCCTCCATCAGACCCAAATGCGGCCGAATGGTCAGCTTCTCCTCCGGTGGAGAGAATCCCCACGGGGTCAAGGCCGTCACCAGAGGCCAGCGATGCGCCGTCGCTCTGTGGTTCACCCTCAACCCCCTTTACCGGGAACTGGTGAGTTGGGGAGGGAGGGGAGGGGAGGGGAGAAAAGGAAAGGAAGAGAGGAGAGAAAAGGAAAGGGAGGGAAGAAGGAAGGAAGGAAAGAGAGAAAAGGAAAGGGAGGAAGGAGAGAAAAGGAAAGGAAGGAAGGAGAGAAAAGGAAAGGGAGGAAGAGAAAAGGAAAGGGAGGGAGGAAGGAAGGAAGGAAAGAGAAAAGGAAAGGAAAGAAGGAGAGACAAGGAAAGAAAAAGGAAGGAGGAAAGAAACGGAAAGGAAGGAAGGAAGGAGAGAAAAGGAAAGGAAGGAGAGAAAAGGAAAGGAAGGAGAGAAAAGGAAAGGGAGGGAGGAAGGAAGGAAGGAGAAAAGGAAAGGAAGGAAGGAGAGAAAAGGAAAGGGAGGAAGAGAAAAGGAAAGGGAGGGAAGAAGGAAGGAAGGAAGGAGAGAAAAGGAAAGGGAGGAAGAGAAAAGGAAAGGGAGGGAGGAAGGAAGGAAGGAGAGAAAAGGAAAGGAAGGAGAAATAAGGAAAGGAAGGAGAGAAAAGGAAAGGGAGGGAGGAAGGAAGGAAG